TTAAACCTTTGATTACTGAGTATCAGCGAGGGTTTCAGGTTGAGCTAATTTATATTTAGAGTGATCGAGAGCAATTTATATTTAGAATGGCAACACCAGTGGGGATAATTAGGAAGAGCTAATCTCATCCCAAGGGAGTTGGTTTTCACACATGCCATCTTTATGAGTGTGCACATTTAACAACCATAGCTTTTAAACTTACCATCCTGCTGTTCCTTAGAGAACTCGATCTGTTAGAAAGAAATTGACCACAAAGAATGTTTTAACCAAACAAAAATGTTCTGATTTTTAGTTGTATCCAGCTCATTCCCTGAGTAATCTTCAAAGTAAGCTCCAAAAGTCAGCCTACTTTTCAGAGTTCAGGCATAGCTTGGACACTAATAGGTTGAGCTGCAATGAAACATGCCTTGAAGATAAGTAATATTGCAGAAACTAGGCAGTGCTGTAGCAGAGAAACTCAATTCACTTACCAGCAATCTGGTCAGCACTGAAGGACTGCAGTGGCGAGGAAGAGAAAGAAAAAACAAGTACTCTTTCAAATGCATTGACAGAAGAATGAGTGCTGGTTGCTCTGAGATTTTTAGGAAGCTATGTAGGTGTCTTGGCATAAGAAGGTTGCCTTAGGACACTTTTGAATCTAGGAACATAAAAAGCTATTGCAAAAGATAATTAGGGAATATCTTTCTGTATCTTAATGATTTAACAAATGCTACATTTAATACTTCTAGGAAAACTGTAGTATATTTAAGATATGTCTAATAAGATACAGTGTTTGAGTACAGATATACCCATTAAAAAGACTACCTTAAGTCTGTCTTCTATTTAGCCAGTGCTTAAAGAAAAGTATACAAAACCCAATGCATCAAAAGCTGTTTACTTAGTTTTAGCTATCAGCATCACTGGATTGTATTTTAAGTATAATATTTTGCTGTAGCTACAGGTTTTTTTCTTCTAAATTTAGGTATAATGAATCTTACGTGATACAGCAAGAGTTGGTGAAGCATAAAGCACAGCTCTTGGAAGTAACCTGTATTTTTCCAGTTGATAAACAGCTCTAATTATTTTCTTCTATCTTTAATGGATCTCAACAAAACCAGTAGATACTAAAGACTCATATTGAATATGTTCTCTCCTCAGTTCCATTCTTTGCCTATCTTTCTTCTCAGTAAGATCATATCCTCTATCTATTTTCTCCTATAAATGACAAATCATTGTCTCATAGGACCCACCATGATGGAGTGGCTGGGCTGCAACACAGCAGGAAAGCCGAAGAGTAAGTTGAGGGTTGCTCCGGTCCCTGAGTGGGGTCCTCCCTGGCTGAGGCTTCCTTTTATTTCTGGGCAAGCTTTGACCTCACAGCTAGCATCAGGTTTCAGAGATAAGTTGCCACACCCCTTGGAGAGTTCTTTAGCTTTCTTAGGGCAAAGGGAAAGATGGATCTGTACCCTGAGAGCTATTTTTAGGTGACTAGAACCTGGGAGTGGACAGCCATAGTGAGATGGAAGCCTGTCAGTACTTTTATGGTCTTTATTTCCAAGAAGTTCTCTTGGAGCATCTTCTTTTAAGAAGCTTCCTATTTGTTCGATGGCAGAAGAGCTTAGAAGTTCTTTAAGGTCTTGGGCCAGACCCTTCTCTTGATGACCGTGGATTTTGAAAACTTCTAGTCAGCAAGTTTTGGTATTAATGCAAGTTTTTGAATGGGACTGGTTTGGGGTTTCAAATGGCAACTGCTATAATAGAAGGAACATCCTCTGAAGTGCTATCCTTTATGGTAAAGTTCAGAGGACTTGAAAAGGCCATGCACATTCTGCATGTTTCTTAGGGTGCACCCAAGTGACAATCTGGTCAGGTCTTGCAATCTCCAATTAAAGATCACTCTTTTGCAAGCATAATCTAAACCAGGAATAGTTTTGATCTCTGCTTTTCACCATTCTCCTTTAGTCTCCTGACGTTAGGTCTGGTTATTTTCCTCCCTCCTTGTTATCTTTATAATGGCTGAGTAGTCATATTTTTTTATTTTCAGAAGTTTTTCTGAGCAGAAAAGCTGATAGATCATTTTTACATTCTTTTTCTCTCATCCTATACATTTTTTTTTTTAAACTACGCATAAGTTCTTACTAGAACATGCTTCTGTTTCTGCTTCTGCCTTGGCAAATACTCTATGGCTCAGCCCCTAGACCAAGAAGGCAAAAGAATGCAAGGCAGAGCTTGTGGAATGCAAAATTGTACTTTATTTTATTATTTTTGAGACAGAGTCTTGCTCTGTCACTCTGGCTGGAGTGCAATGGCACAATCACAGCTCACTGCGGCCTTGAACTCCCAGGCTCAAGTGATCTTTCCACCCCAGACTCCTTAGTAGCTAGGACTACAGGCATGTGCCACTGCACCCGATTAATTTTTATTTTGATTTTTTGTAGAGACAGGGTCTCGTTATGTTGCCCAGACTAGTTTGAACTCCTAGCCTCCAGCCATCATCCTGCCCAAAGTGTGGAGATTACAGGCATGAGTCACCTTGCCTAGCTAAAACTGTATTTTAGAATTTTAAAGGTATCTAGGGGATTGGCCAGCAATGGGTTTTCATGGTAGCTTACCTGAAAATAGCAGGCAACTCCCTTCTGGAAATGGTACTGGGAAAAGTGGTACAGGGAAAGATCCTCCTAGGATGTCTGCTAAAGTTCAGACAAAATATTTACCAGTTTTCTACATGTTTAAAGCAGCTCACAGGCATAATGTATATTGGAGATTATTTGTAACTTGAGTACTGCTTCAGCAACTGTTTTTTAATGGGATGGTCACAAAAAGCATGAAGTCTTCCCTTCTAGAAAGACATATACTTTGTAGCTTCTCCTCAAACTATTTCAGAAAAAATCAGCATTTAATATATACATCTCTTCTGGCTCTAAGTTTATAAGTAGTGAAAAAAATCTCATAGAATCTTGAGTCCCAAAATGAAGATTGAAAATATAATTTTAAAATTATTAGTACCCAGGTAAACATTTTCATAAATAGCTTGACCTTTTGAAAGGTTATTGGGAACTGAAATTTAATAGAAAAATTAAAAATGCTTTGAATCATTAGGGGCAAATGGAAGGGAAAGACAAAGGTGGAAATGTGTAAGCTTTGAATATTACAAGATTTGGAATCTTACAATTTTTGACATAAATGAAAGCATCAGGGCCTACTATGTTATCTTTGTGTTCTTTTTTAGTTTTCTAATTATATTTATGTAATTACATTATTAGATTTGAATTGTGTTATTGAGAACTAGCATATATCATTAGTTGAGCTAATAACTATACATAATACAAAATTAACCATCAAAATTGCCCTACTAAGCATAATTATTTTCATATTTAATAATTTTTTTCAGGTAAAAAAGTGTCCTTGCCTAGATATAAAATATGGTTAATCTGTGTAAAATCTATTGAGTAAACTGGAAAGTAAGTTTAAAATTTGTATTTAGGGCAGGGTGTGGTGGCTCACACCTGTAATCCTAGTACTTTTGGAGACCGAGGCAAGAGGATCATCTGAGGTTGGGAGTTCAAGACCAGCCTGACTAACATGGAGTAAACCCTGTCTCTACTAAAAATACAAAAGTAACCGGGAGTGGTGGCGCATGACTGTAATCTCAGCTACTCGGGAGGCTGAGGAAGGAGAATTGCTTGAACTCCGGAGGCAGAGGTTGCAGTGAGCCGAGATCGTGCCATTGCACTCCAGCCTGGGCAGCAAGAGTGAAACTCCGTCTCAAAATAAATAAATAAAATAAAATAAAATAAAATAAAATAAAATAAAAACGTTTTATTTATGCCAGGTGTGGTGGCTCATGCATGTAATCTCAGCATTTTGGGAGGCCTAGGTGGGCAGATTACTTGAGACCAGTAGTTTGAGACCAGCCTGGCCAACATGGTGAAACCCCGCCTCTACTAACAATACGAGAATTATCCGAGCCTGGTGGCATACGCCCGTAGTCACAGCTACTCAGGAGGCTGAGGCAGGAGAAACACTTGAATCCGGGAGGAGGAGGTTGCAGTGAGCTGAGATCGCGACATTGTACCCCAGCCTGGGCTACAGAGTGAGACTTCATCTCAAAAAAAAAAAAAAAAAAAAAAAAAAAGTTGTATTTATGTTACGAATAAGCTATTCCTAATGACTTGGATACTATAAAGTTTGTTATTAAAATAGAAGCAGTTAAGTGATATGCAGTTGTTAACTGTTTTCACCCTAGTCTTTCTTCATACCTTTGTCACATAGAGAATGCATTTAGATTTTTTGGGTACTTACTGAGAATCAACAAAAATATTTGAGCATTTTATTTGACAACAGTAGGGAAGGCTAGAGTATGGTCTAGAGAAAAAAAAAACTGTAGTTTAAAAACTAGAAGACTAGATTCTGTGCTCATAGAATAAACGGGAAATCCAATTTTTTTCTCTGGCACATTTTTTTTTTTTTTTTTTGAGACGGAGTTTCACTCTTGTTGCCCAGGCTGGAGTGCTATGGCGCGATCTCGGCTCACTGCAACCTCCGCCTCCCAGGCTCAAGCGATTCTTCTGTCTGGTTTACTTTCATAAATGGCACAACTTATCTTCTCTCTCTTCCTTGGGGTTATAACGATGGGGTAATCAGTCCTTTGAACAAAGGCAAATTAATTGTGTAATATGAATACACAATGTCGGCTGGTTTTCGCTTGAGTTCTCTGTCATCAATTAGTTTTAAAAATCAGATTTACCTTTCTTCTCTCTGGAATGTTCTCTCATTGCTTCTTTTTAGAAATTAAATATGCGACAAGCCCTGGTAACATTTGTTTCCCTTGAGAGAAACGTTTCCTCTCTGTTTTCCCCAGTATTCAACATCACCCAGGTCTTCATCCCACTGAAAATTTTTTAACCTTCTTGATTGTAAGCTTCTGGGAAGCTTAGGCCATTCCCGAAGTCATTTGTTCTTGATATAGACCTGGATGTGAGCCTACCCCAACCTGTCTCCAATAGAGCACTTTGCTTGCCTTATTTTTTATTTTATTTTATTTTTTTTACACGTACCAGTCATCTTTTATTTGGAGGTTAATTCCCATTAGGACATGAAAGGATTCAGCAAGATCGAGATTGTGTTCCTCACGGAGGGGCTGGGGCCAAGGTCATGGGGTCAGGGGGTGGTGCAGAGTGTGTCCCCTTCAGTGGTATTTGCGGAGCCGCTCGTGCTTGAGATGTTTGTAGGAAAGGCAGTAGTTGAAGAGCACGTTGCATGCCAGCACCATGGTAATCCCCGAGATGCTCCCCTTCCTCACGTTAATGTACTTGTTGTAGTACCGGTAGTAACCTCTTCGAAATGCTCCGAGAATGCCACTAGGGCTGAAGTCCCGCATCAAGATCCAGCTTGGCAGCTCCCCCAGTTTGACCTCCAGAAGTTTCTTGTCCGTCACTGGTAGGACTGACGCCATCTTGGAGTCCTGGTGTCCGCTGTATGCTTGCCTTATTCTTAGGATTTATCCCTCCATAACTCTCTGTAGAATACCTTGCCTATATTTGAAGCTCAATAGATTTTCATTAAGTTAAAATCATTAGAACATGTATATCCTAAGCTCCCCCTTCAGATATAAACTTCTCCTCTAGAAGGTTGTGTACCATGAGGGAAAAGACTTCACCTGCTCAAAGTTAGCATGCTCATTTTGAATTATTGATATATGTACCTTTATATTTCTAGCACCTTCCTTTGAATTTTATATAAATGTTTTTGACCTGGACTTCTAATTTTCCAATCCCCAATTTTTTTTTTAAGGCTCTTTTAAATTCTAGCCTACATATTTATCTTAGACTCTTAGTAAACTAGTTACATTCCACATTTTTATGATTCATGCTATCATTTGATGTTGGATTTAGGTAATAGTAGTCTACAACATACTGCTACTAAAAAGAATTTTTATTACAATGTTTACAAATTCATTTTTACTTGGAGAAGCATCTTTCTAATAGTAATAATGAGATTAAGTTAACTGATTAAACATCATACAATGTATCTATTTGGTTGGTGCAAAAATAATTGCGGTTTTGCCGTTACTTTTGTACCAACCTAACAGAAAGAATTGAATTATAGAAAAAAAATTAAAATGCTGTTAATCAAACAGGCTCTGGAATTGATGTAGGGTAAGTCTTAGTAAAAGAAGAAGAGCTGTAATTAAAGATAATTGGGGAGACATGTAATATTGAATACTGGGAGAAAATGCCCTGGGAAGGAACATGGACTACATTCTTCAAAGAACTCGATGGTCCTTGCAACATACAATGGGGATTAATGACTGGAAAGGCTAAAGAAGCTAATATAATCAGGGCCAGTTTTCAATCAAAGAAAACACTGCTGTATGCTCTCTGATTTAACGCCTGGCAGAGAGACCAAAGACCTGGATGTATATAAATCCTTAAACTTATTTTACCTAATTTTCACTCCAATCTCACAGAGTTTCTAGAAACCACCATAAAAGGCCAGGAAAAGCACTATTTTGGAACTCTTGGGAGTTTTGTGCTTCAGAATAACTCACTTAAGTCAAAGGAAATAAATATTTTTGCATTTTTGACTTCAACATAGGATATACTTAGGCTAGTATATATCTAGGCTAGTTACTATAATATGGTATAAACAGGGGAAATTAAGAGTATTGAGAATATGGCACCAGCCCAGTTTCTCTAATATAAGAGAGATTAGATGGTTAGATTGCATAAATTGATCTGGTCTGAGATAAAATATTTAATTTTGTGCTATGAAGTCCTAGATTAGTCAACTGAATTCAGTCACATAAGAGCAAAAACTCAATTATTAAAATAAAACAATTCAGACCTACAGGAACTAAGCTAAGTCTAAGTGAATTTTAATAAAAATCTAGAAACACAACCTGTTACACTTTTTCTGTTTTCTCATTAGCTTTCTCATGATTAATAATTGATAAAGAAATTTAAAGTTTCTTGAGAGCTGCCCATACTTTTGTCTCCTTTGTGCATTTGTTTGCATGTAATTTCTTAAAAACCTACATTGTGTTTTTGTTCATTCTTTTATTTTAAAAAATTCTTTGTGTGTTTTAAGACATAAGTATCTGCTTCGTCCTATTTGGAATAAAAGTTCCTTTTGTGACAGCAGGGATAAGAATATTGGCATTGCCATTCTGGAGACTTCGAGAACTTGTGGAAAGAGAACTAGATTGGGAATTTTGTTTTAGCTTTCTTATAAATCATGTGTCTTCTGATTAAATTCTCTCATCTAGGCTATAGTTTCGTCAGTATAAAATATTCTACTGCACGATTTCTAGGATTTCTTATGTTTCTTCAAGGTTGTGAGTTTTCCATCCTTTTGTCAGCAGAATCTACTTCAACTCACTCATTTTAATGGAAAAGGAAAGATGCCTAAAAGTTCAACAGGTAATATTAGTCTGAAGTAATTTAGATAAACAGGAATTAAGCAAAACATAACTTCATAACACCATATTCAAGCCAGTTGGATTTTTTTTCATAAACAGGAGACATACTCCACTGGGCATTTAATAGGTACTTTATCACAGTGAAAGGACAAGCATAAAGTTGAGAAGATGTAGTTACATTTTTAGGGATGCTTTTCTTCTCTGGCTTAACTTCACTGTTATTAATTTGTGACCAGAATAGCCAGAATTTATCATCCATATAATATACCTTTTAACTAGTATAATTGAAGCCATTTCTACTTTTATATTGTAATTTTTGCCCTTCACATTCTGATTTAAGGTAAGAAACAAACTGTAGAAGTTGATATAGAAATAAACCACAGAAGATCTTATTTTTATATGAAAAGTATTTCAGTCTGAAGAGCAGCAGAAGAAAGTGTAGTATCAGCAGACTAAATATAATCCTTTCCACCATGAGTCAGATGGTGCTTAATACTAGGTAATTATGGAATGAGTTCTAAAAACAACTTGCCAGGGGTTCATTTGCAGCACTAAAATGCCGAGAGCTAAATTTGGCACGGTCACTTTATGGTCTCCTTATCCCACAAATATTTAGTTTTACTTAAAAGTGTTATTCACTATTAATTGGTCAACAGATCTCTTATTTTCAAAGCTACATTTTCCTTTCAAAGACATTATCCTTCAAAATATAATTCTAGAGAAAATTACAAAATGCCCTTTAATATTTTCCCACTTCTCCCCACCTGTTCTCTTCTGTTACAGCATAGATATTTGAAAGAGGAAATGTGACACTGATACTTAGTAATAGTGTCAAATAATTTCTGATTTGCTCCTGAGGTTATATTCACATCGCAAATGGATTAATATTGCAATTGGCTAACATTATAGTTGTATTAAAAATTAATTTGAACTATTAAAAGGCCAGAGTAAAAGAAAACAAACTTTTAAGATTATGTAAGGAAAAGTTAGAAACAACCTATACATATTTTTACCTATGTTTTTCTAATTAGAAATTGACTACATGTGTTCTTTTACTCAGAGTAGTTAGGGTTAAGATTTTATCATATTATACATGTGGCATTGTATTTCTGCATACCATCCCAAAGAATATAGGTTGGGATTTCCAGTTTAAATAATGCTGTTTATTTGTAAACAAAATAGAAATCTCATACCCTCCTTAGAATATTAGCCTGATGGCAAAAATTGAAGGTCATATTTGATGTGTGTGTATTTAATTGAACAAAAGTACTAAAAAATCTTAATCAGTTTCATTATATCTAATAGCATTTAAAAATATCCATTTTCCATTTACAATATCCTATAGGAAGATGGAACAAAATGAGTAGGAATATTTCTAGGTTCCTGATATTGCACCCTCCTTCTGTAAAACAGAACACCCAAGTTGTCAGGTGCTAAGACAGGGAAATGGAGAACAGAATAGTAGTGAACGGTCAAGGTCAAAGTCTTGGTGAACTTGCTCTGATGTGTCTGTCATCCCCTCTTCTGGTTACACAGGACTGTGCAGGGCAATATAAAAACCACTCTACCTCATACCCTTAAGAGTAAAAAGGGATCCTTTACACATTCTTAGAAACAGTAACTTACTTTTTATAAATGAGGGTGGTAGTTTCGGATATGGTTAACGCAGTTGACTCTGGATTTTGCTTGCTAAGTTAAACCCTATGTCCATCACTTAACTACTTATTTGATCATATGTATAGCACTTACCCTCTTTTAAGCTCAGTTTCTTTACTTGCAAATTGTGGATACCACAACTTCAGTGTAATATTGTGAGGATTAAATAAGATAACATGGCAAAGAGTAAATTCACAATGAATATTGGTTATTGTTACAAAAAGCTTTATAAACTTCAGAGCCTTTCGTGGAGCATGACTTCATTTGATTTTTCTCAGAAATTCTTCTAAAGGAAACTGGATTTATATTAGTTTTGTTAGAAATAAGAAAAAACTTACAGGTGAACAAAAGTAATCCTATACCTGGGCCAAAACAAATTGGGTGCCACAATGCATATACAACTATCTGCCTCCACTGAATCCCCATCAGTAAGTAGATGCATTTGGGAACATTAGATTTCTACCTTATATATTAAATTGAAAGTTTAAATCTTCCCAAGCATGTGGTCAATTGTTGAAGCAAGATTTCTTATGTGATAGTTTCTGTCAATGCATTCTGTACGTTTACCATGTTTTATAATACCGCTCACAATGTCTAGTCAGGGCTGACCTGATTAAGTGGTGAATGCAATGAGAATTAAAACTCAAACAGCACAGTGAGAGACATAATTCACAATACCATCACCTCACAGCAATACTGCCATACAATGCATGCATCATGCAGAAAATTTACTTACACATTGAAGATCTAGAATCTAGGCACATGGTTATGTCATTACTTTCATTATCTTACTTGGTTGCGATTTTGAGCAATGTGTATTCTTGTTTTTGAACCTACAACCATACTTATGCTGGGTTTTAATTCCTGTGACTGATTCTGTTAGGCTGTGTTCTTTTGGTCTGGCATTGTTACTGGAAGTATTAGCTCTCTGAAGGCAAAGCGTGCTTAGAACCACCAAGGACAATAACTTTAGTGTTCAAATATCAATAGTACTTCGTTGTTGAAAAGGGGTACTCATAGAAAATCCATTAGGATTGGACATCAAGTAAGCATTCCTTCAGAGAGTATCATAAAATTTGTGTCAGAACAATTGAAGAAATGTTGTAAACTAATAACTAACAAACCAGGAAATCAGGTTGGAAAGCACATTTAAGAAGGTGATAAAACTAATTAATTATATTCAAGATTATTCAAGATTTATGGAGGAATCAAATATATGGCTATTAAATATAGTATGCTACAATATGAAACATAGATATTAGCTGGGAATACTATGGAGAAATTAAATTTTACCATGGCTGTGACTATAGTACTACACAAAGGCAGTTATGATTAAACTACAGCATTACTCAAAGTCTAAGGGACAGCTAAGTTTCTAATCTTATATGATTTATGAAAGAAAGTTTATAATCCAATTAAGTTTTGTTCTTTGTTGAATTTTTGGAAAGTTAATGAATGCATATAACAGCTCTATTAATTTCTTTAAAGTTCATT